TAGAGTATGTAGTTAATTTTTTTCCCTTTCATATTAAAGACATAAACAATGTTTTAAATGAAAACTTTGAGGCGCTTCAAAAGATAGTATGGTAAGTAGGGTTGGTAAGTAAGAGTACTGGATGACGAATGGCTCTAAGAGTGAAATATTTTTCTTCTTATTTTACATTACAAGTGAGAATGATTTTAATTTTAGCAGGACTATCGAAAAGACTGAAAAAAATTACACAAATTTTATTTAAAAAAAAATGATGCCAAAAATAATGTATTGAATGGCACAGATTCATCTCTTCATATTTCCATTCTAAACTGTAGTTATGTTGTTTTTTTTCTTAACTTGTTTTGACGACTGTATACACATTAAATTTTGTGCATGGATCGCTGAATTAATCTATATAAAATATTGTGTTGAGCCAGACATGAGCAAATTTTTTGCTAATTAAGCAAAACAAAATTAGGCCCGACTGCGGGCAGAGTCCGAATGATGATCGAATATCTGATAAAAAAATTCATGTTTTTTTTGGCTTATGTTCAATCAAACTTAGTTACATGATTATAAAGAACATGCTCATTAAAATACATTCTTTTAATAATTATAAGCATAAGTACGGACGCTTGGAAGAAGTTTAACCTTTAATATCTTTAGTTTTAACTAAAATTTGGCCTTAGACATATTGTTGTTGCTTCAATATAACTATGTGTATATCCTCTTGTCCCGCAACCCGAGTAGGGACATGATAGTTTAATTAGCATAGCAACTGAGACTCGATATTCTGTTTATTGAAGATTGAAATACTCCTCCTGATGATTAATTCCTCATTGAGCAATATTTTTATAACATAAAAGAAGTTCTTTATTTGATGTTATATTTAGAATCTATCAAAAATTACAGTTTTACATCAAAGATTTGATATTGAAAGCAAAATATAAATAATTTGTTAAAAAGAGTATTTTTTATATTAATTTATGATGGGTATTGATATGAATGTCGAAACCAGGTACAGTATTCGATTTTGAAATTAAAGTACGAAGTTATTTCACGAACCTTGAAGAGGCTTTTGTTAGAATGCCAAAGTCACACCTTTATAATCAATTTCCTTATTACATACTTTCTTTCCCTTAGAATAACAATGGTTTTCTTTATTTTGTTATATGTACCGTAACTATTAAATATCTATTAGATATTTGCCTTTATTATACAGAAAGAAAAAAATGTAAATTTGCTTAATCAAACTAGTCAAAATTTGTTAGTAGATAATAATTAGTTATACACAATAACCATATATATATATTAATTAACAATTCAAATAAACAACGAGCTATTTAATGAACCAAATTACTTATATGATGTTTGAAATTTAATGAAATGGCAATAAACAATTATTAAACAAAGTTACATAAACAAAGCAAGTTAACAAGAATAATATTGATAATGATTCTCAATTAATTTTTTTGCATAATATTGAAATCAAAATGAAAAAATGGTCTAGTAGTAATTATGTATATTGATGATAATTTGTACTTTCGTAAGTACAAATTATATAAAACTATATTTTTCGGATTTACCTCGAATATTTTATTATTTTTGCATTGATGTTTATTGTTTCACATTTTTTAATTTCTTAAGCTATGGTTTCAATTAAATATTCTTGTCAAACGAGATGAAACTATTTATCAGTAGGTCTTAATTTTCTATAGTTTAACGCTTACATTTACAAATATTTTATCTTCAAATATAATTGTAAATTATTTCTCAGATTTGCGTTTTATATTAACTCTAAATTACGTAACTCATAACTTGTTCGATCTTAAGACTATGATCTGGTGTAATTTTTTTATCATGCATTACGTCGAAATTTTTATTACAATTTCATGACCCATTTTTAATTTACTTTCAGCCCTTAACATAAGAATTACATTAAGTTTTCCTAAGCCGAGGGATTGAAAAGGTCCCAAAATCAATTTTAAAGGGTACCATAATTTAGGATCCGTCCAATATAATAGCCATATACGGTCTTACTTACATACATGACAAATTAATACTTCGAATTATTCCTCCTTAAATTATTTCACATAACATTTAATTTTAAGGAGTGTGAAATAGTTTATCTATTGCCAGAAAAAATTAAACTACTTAAAATGAATCCAACTCATGCAATGTATTTCCATTAGTAAAATATATAGTTATCTATTTAGTTATTAATAATATAATCACTGAAGTTATTTTGTTTGTTAACATTATCAGCATTTTCCGTTGAATTCATTATTTTTGTTTCCAGACGATTATATATTAAAAGCTGCAATAGGTAATTTTATTTTCTTTAATTTTATGTTCTTCTATCTTTTTTTCTTCTTTTTTTGATTCTTTTCTTCATTATATGTAAAAATTTATTTTCTGCGTGAAATTTGTTAGGATAAGAAAACTCCAAATATCTAAGAATATTTGATTTTATAGTTTACACATATTTTAATTTATAGAAAAATTTATCTTGTGAGTAATAAACCAAAGATCTTTGTGTAATGTCTCTTAAGAAAAAAATGTGACATAGGCAGACAAAGTATGTTTTAAAATTTAATTTTATGCTCGAATAGATCAAAAACGATAAAACTGCTAAATTATAATTAGGCTAGCAATGCGCTGCCGGCGATAATTCTAATGATTCTTAATAGACCTAAATTGCAGCAGTAATGATAGCTATTGATATAAGTATGAAGATAAATCAATTGTAGGAGTATTTATTAGCTCTATATAAATGGTAGAAGGTAATTAATGAGCATATAATAATAATTATTTTTTTAAGTAACTAATTTTATTATAATACTGTCTTAAAAATAGTTCATGATTGTAAGTTTCTAAAGTACTTCTTCTTCTTCTTCCTGCCCCAGTCCCACTTTATGTAGGGTTGGCACAACATGTTCTTCTCTTCTAGTCTCGCCTATCAACCGTCATCTGATCCTATAAGTATATAAGGCTATAGAGCTTAAATAACGATTATTATTTATTGTAATTACATCATAAGTACCACAATCAGTTTAATGATGAAGGTAATTGTCAATTGCACAACGCCCATTTTTAATATTAAGGTTTCTGAAGTTTTCAGCAACCCTGACAGATTTGATATTATTTGATATAATTCTTGATAATTTTATTGTGAGTGAGTGTACGAGTATAATCCGATTAGAACAGTGAATGTGTAGGATACATTTGTTTATATTTGTTGTTTTTGAGAACTACTTTGAAAGGATCTTTATATTTCGGATCCGGATTTTTTGGCGTTTCTTTTTGAAGCATTAGATGGTATTGTTTTCGTGGAAACGAAAGCAACTCTGCGCTTCATTTCTTTACATCTGAAAATAAGTGAGTTCATAAGGCGAATAGTTATTATTATGAACTAGAAGACCTGGCGAACTTCGTATCGCCCTATAATCAAGAAATATCTATTACGTTTTTTTATTTATATTTTTGGAGTTTACCTGTAAGCCATAAATCTCCGTGTTTTGAAGTGCGACAGAATGATTGACATATTAGTTAGTTGTCAAATATAATGTCAAAAAAAACGTTTGTATGGGAAATAGAAAAGGGCTGTTTTTATGGTTTTCCCAGTAATGAATCCATTTTTTTCATCTTTTATACCTTCCCTCAACCTCCACGAACATTTCAAGACTAAGATAAGATAAATCCGTTCAGTTGTTCTCGAGTTTTAGCGAGACTAAGGAACAGCAATCCATTTTTATATATATAGAAGATTAGGATGGCACCGTAACTATTTCTATTTGAGCATAAATTTGGAATGTAAGGTTTAGATTTTGTAATTGTTCAACAATTATTTAGTAATTTATATATCTCTAAGCGAATTGAAAAAGTGTCTTCTTGTAAATATATTTAATAAATGTTTTATTTATAATATAAAATTATTAAACTTATGAAATATTAAAATAATGAACAACAACATAAATTGCAACACCAAAAATCTTCATAAGAGAATCTAGACTTGACACTCACAACACTCAGATGTTTGGCGGTTTGTTGAGAAACAAATTTATTTGAAATAGAAAACACAAAAATGACAATAGTTTAAATGCTTTAAAAACGAGAATAATTCAAATCCGCAGGATTTAAAAATAACCAATTTCAGTAAAATACATTTTATATATTGACTGTTTAATACATTTGATAGGATAATTTAATTATAAAACTCGTTTGAAGATCAAAAGCAAAATATTTAGTGATATTTTACACAACGAATCTTGAAACTTTATTCTCGGGTGGGCTCCGCTTGGATTTGTAGTAATCATTCCCACTCTTGCCACAACAAACAAGAGGTAGTCTATCTACATATATATTATATCAGTTCTATTGTAATATTAATTTATTTTCATCACACTTCATAACAACTTCCTTAAGATCAACGAGACTAATATTAAAAAGTTTCTTGAATACAGAAAATTCAACCCCGTGTTTTCTATGAGATGCGTATGTATATTTTTATATTAGTTAAACTTAAAAAGTTTTCCAGAAACAAGCGTTAATCATTATAATTCTAAGTATTTATAAAAATGTTGTCATTTTTAAATAAATTTATGGAAACTAACGTCGGCTTTATATCAGTAAACAATACATCAATCATACAAGAAAAAAAAAACATTTTTATCGCATTAAACAATAAAATTTTAAAGAGTTGTAAAATATTTGCCCTTCGTTAGTAAATAAATGTAATAGTACCAATTGCCTTATACATAATATGCAACAACCTACATACATACATACATGTATTCTGATAATATTCAGTCCCGAGTCCCGACACCCAACGCGAATGTTGCGTGTGACAGTTTTTTACCCTATCGTAAAAAGATTACCTAAACAAAATGAAACAGCTCTGACGTAATCTAATATAGTTACAATTTATACAGTAGTTAGGCAATCCATGAGCATAGTCCCGCCTCCGTTTACCTAAGCCTCCTGTTTGAGGTACCATGTCAAGTTGTCTATAAAGAAAAGCAATGCATCCGATCTCCGGAAGTTCAGCAGCTTCAGACGCCAACAGAATATATGGCGCCGGTTCTGGAACCGATTCTTGGCATAGTATATCACACACGTATGACGACGTTTATGAGGTAGTGAGCGCTTGCAGCTCGAAGAATCAAGATAAGCTGCTTACTAAGCCATCTCTAGATCTAGACATTTTTGATGCCTTAGGTTGGAAAGCACTCAACTTCCCGTCCTGGCCCGGACTGAACTAGAAGATTTTGAATCTGATATACCAATGATACCAAAGAGTTTCTTCCTTCCTCTATTGAATAACTGATCGCCGTGGTGGCAAAAACTAACATATTTAATATATAGGTAGTTGAAAAAGAGTAATAAAATAAGCCTTTCATTAATAGAATGATTGTAAATATACATGATGAATCATTCCTTGAGTGTGTGCCAATGATATTTTATGTTTATAGACATTAGTTCCTTAATTTTCAGTGTGGAATTCAAGATACGAAACGAAATTTGCATAATAAAGGGTATTGCGGATGTTTTCCATTCGGTCTCTATCCAATCGCCGATTTAAGAGTATGTTTATATGTGAACCGTGATATACAAGTATAAATATATATATATATATCGGATTTATTACATTTTCGTTGATTTTAAAGAGAGAAACGCCAGCCTCGCTGTCGTTACAAATGTCACTTCTTCTAGAGCATTCGATGATATTTTAAAATGAAACTGCAATTGTTCTTAATACTCCTGTATTTCTCAAAGATTCTTCATATTAACCTACTTCAATGATACACACTCACTGAACTCTGAATTATCAATGCTGAATTCTCAATTCTGGAGTCCGCCGTCGTGAGTCCAGACGTCATATTTTTGATTTAAACATAATTCTATTCTCTTTTGATTTCGTTTTACTTTTAACAATAATCATAAATACTAATGAGGTTTAATAAGAATTGATGGAAGCCTCTAATTATTTTCAAGTCGCATCCGTTATTAAAGCTGGTAGCGCCGATACGGCCATTCTGACAGGCGGTGCGTGCTCTGCACCTGCCTGGTTATGTGTTCTTTCTTGGTTGGTTTTCGTTATGTGCTTGGACCAGTCGCGCGTCTCGTAAAGTAGATGGGACAGGATCAAGAATTGATGCTTCATCTTCCGAAGTCATGCCGATACGGTCATACTGATGTTTGCTCTGTGATAAAAGATAAATGCTTTTGTAGTCTAGGTACTTCCACAGTACACCTAGATAACTTTATATTGTTATAATTATGAATATCAAAATTTTTTTTTTTTAATCGTATGGGTAACGTTGTTTACTACAACACAACTTTGAGATGGTCATAATATCACGTCCAATTATCTAAGCTTCATGGCTTTGGGGGCATCACACGAACATTCATAACATATTTGTCATAGGACGTCTCCGCCCGCCTACAACATTTTGTTTTTATTTATTTGTCGTAAGACGTCTCCACCCGTCTACAACAATTTTATTTTATCAACCATTTTATTATTATTATTATTTTGTTATGGTTCGGATCCGCCATCAAAGGCATCTTTTATAGTAATAATAATAATTTAATAATTTTATAGTAATATATCTCAAAGTAAGTGTTTCAAAATCACACTTCTATCTACGAAATATGTAATGCGTTTGAAATGAAGTAAATTGAACAAAATGAAATACGCTCACCGGATAACTATTAGGTAGTCGAACAGTCTACCTTGCTGCTCGTTTACTTATACTCTCTCGTCACTCCAGTGGAACTTCGTCTGGCTGGTCACGAATCACATTTCAAAGTGTTCCTCGGTTTCTATTACTTTTTCCGTGATATTTTTTTTTATATTAAATCTCCATTCTGAAATTATTTAAATTTTAGCTCGAAATCTCTAAAATCCAACTTTTTATCTTCTCTCCGCCTCGACCATCCTGTTTTAAATGTGTTGCTTCGATATCCACGGACGGATTGTCAAATTGTAATCTAAACTGTTAAAGCCGGATTGAATTCGTATGTTCATAACATCGGCAAGGATACTAAATTTGTCAGATGTACGCTAAAGCCTGTAATCACAAAACTATTTATATTAATAATAGAGCCCGGCCTCAATCCTCGCAAATAGTTGACTGATTTGTTTTCTATTCCCGGGGATGTTATTTGCCATTGATTCTTGTATAACGCACCCCTGAAATCATGCATTTTATTAAGATTAAATTTACCAATTGATATTAAATTTAAATTCGGCGTGATATCCTTTTTCCGTCGACAACATGATTCAAACGTTTGACCACGGTTAGCAGAAATGGAACAAAACTTAGCTGTACTCGCAATAGGTGTATTTGATTAGAAATTTGGAGTCAATTATGCTATCATTTGAATTATAACATCGTTTTTTAGTGGCACTGCTGTGTGTGTCGACCGACATGTTAATATTACTGTGAAGGGTATGTCTACAGTCGATTATAAATAAAGCCGTGGCGCCGGCTGTTTGATATCAAAATCATGTAACTTCTTATAGATTGAGTGACTTCATATTTACTCATAGTTTCCCAAGGCCGCTCTTCGTCATCTCATGGTATTCTCAAGGATACAGCAAGGATCTGTGGTTAGCTCAAGGGTAATACGTGAGTAGCTCAGAGGTACGCTCTCCACATCTGTGGCGTAGACTTGTCTTCTCACGGTTCCACAAGGCATCCCTACGTAATCTCATGGTTCTCTTTCGGATACATCAAGGACCCGTGGTTAGCTTAAGGGTAACTCGTGATTAGCTCAGAGGTCACGCTCTCCAGATCTATGGTGTAATACTTGTCTCCTCACGGCTTCACAAGGCTTCCCTACAGAATCTCATGGTACAGATTCTCTTGAGAATACACCATGGACACGAGATCAGCTCACGGAAATTCCCTACACACTAAAGGCAACATAGAGCTCTCATTATTTCCGAAAAAGAAGAGCGCGTCTTATCTCGTAAGTTTTAAAGATATCACTATTAAAATAGTTTGCCTCTAGTTTCGTGATAATAAAATTAATTTCGTTATCTATTTCTTGTTTAGCCTTCAACCAATGGTTTGTTGTCGCGGCGAAATGAAAGCATTTTTGATTCGAAATAAGTGGCAAAGGATATCTATCAGACACCGTATTCTTATTTAATTCTCTCTATGACATTATTCAAATGATTTTTCAGTTCCAATCTTGTTTGTTTTAAGAATGAGACATTATTTTTAATCCCTATAGAATACCCTAATGTAAGCAGATCCTGTCTAATCATAACGTCGTTGAAAATACATGAATTCACAACATGGAAAACTCACTTTACTGAATCACTCTTAAATTGTTTAAAGAATTTAGATATAACATTTAATGCGAGCGTTACTTACACTTTCTAATGCAATTGTATTATTATATTGCGCTTTACTTAGAAATCTATCTTTCAAGATTTTTTTTTTTTTTATTTCATTAAAGAACATTCGGTACCCGAGTCGAAGCAACATGAAAACCTCTCACCGGTTTCACTCCAGAGCTGAACCATATCTGGACGGAACAGATATTCACGCATCGTTCGGTCCATGCTTAATTGGCTTTGAATTCAACACTGGGGCAGCGCAGCGCGAAGTAGCCTCGTTGACCATACTTGAAGCAACTAGGAGTAATCATTTCCTTCGGCGCGCCAGGTTCTTTTAATTGTTGAGAGGAGCTGGTATCTGAAAACTCAGGATGTGTATTAGTATTTGGTCAAGCCCGCTATGGCCTCAACCTTCAGTTAGAACGTGCCCGTCTTGCCTCAGTTATAGCGCCACATCGTCGCATAATATCTCCGCTTAATACCCATACTACGTGGCTTCTTACGTAAATGTTGTAACCAATCGTATTCACATATTTGAGCTCACTCCTTTTAAAGATTTCATTTTCATTTGAGAATCATGGTTCCTGATTTACTACGTATTTATAGCCATATAGATGTGTTGACACCATTCCCGAAGACACACACTACCACCGGGGTCAAACGATGATAAAAATGATCTTCTTAGTAATTTTAATATTATCCCTTGATTTATTTGTAGTAAACGTTTGCACACGCTCTGCATTATTGACATCAATGAATGGCATGAAAAAAAATTCTCTTGTAGCGTTCTTCAGTACGCAAGTTCTCCACATGGTTATTTTCTTCAGCTGGATAGGATTTATAAGACCGGCATGATCACGAGAGCGATCCCACTTCTGATACCGGATTTATTACATTTTCGTTGATTTTAAAGAGAGAAACGCCAGCCTCGCTGTCGTTACAAATGTCACTTCTTCTAGAGCATTCGATGATATTTTAAAATGAAACTGCAATTGTTCTTAATACTCCTGTATTTCTCAAAGATTCTTCATATTAACCTACTTCAATGATACACACTCACTGAACTCTGAATTATCAATGCTGAATTCTCAATTCTGGAGTCCGCCGTCGTGAGTCCAGACGTCATATTTTTGATTTAAACATAATTCTATTCTCTTTTGATTTCGTTTTACTTTTAACAATAATCATAAATACTAATGAGGTTTAATAAGAATTGATGGAAGCCTCTAATTATTTTCAAGTCGCATCCGTTATTAAATATATAGATATATATATATATATATATATATATATATATATATATATATATATATATATATATATTATGAAAATGAGAAGATTTCTGTAATAAATCCTCAGTCACCCTCATGTAAACCTTCAAATACCTTTGTTATTATCAAAGAATACCATAACTTGCTCATGTTATATATAAAGTTATTTACTGTTTTTCACATTATGTTTCTACATTTTATCAGTTTTACACGTGGTACTTGAAACTTCTTTTTATAAAATGAGAAGTTTTTGAAAAGTCCCTTTCAAATTTCAAATTGTAACTACTATGACGCGTTATTTACCTTTATCAAAATCAGTTATTCTAATGGTAGCATTATTGTTATTTGTCTACATCACAAGTTTTAATAGTCGATGTAAAAATTTACAGCCATCCTTCAATTACGTATAAGAAATCAAGGCTAAGTTCTTAAAATACAAGTTATCTGTAAGTGTTTCATCTGAACAGCTAATTTTGAACCAGAACTTACAAGATTTAAAACATAAATTTATAAAATGGAGACAAATATTTTTATTATAGTCATATTTATATAAAAAAAATTGTTATATTTATAAAGCTTTGATTGTAAGACTTTCATTTATCTTACTATGTGTTGTAACGAAGAATTACTGTTCGAA